ACTATGAAAAAGGTATCCCTATAATAACAGATGAACATAAGCTCAAAAAGGTTAAGTGACTTCACCAGTGTCGCACAAATAGGAACAAATCAAAGACTAAAATTTAAGATCTCTTCTTGAAAAGCCAAAAAAAAGAGAGAGAAAAAAGAAATAGAAATAGAAATTCCACCTTTAATTTAACTAGGAGATACTGTAACTATAATGTGAAATACAGCTTGTAAACACAGAAAGCTGATGGTGGAATGGTAAATGACCTGGCATAATGAAAGAAGATCGCTACAGAAAGATATAATGACAAACAATCCTAACTTACTCTGCAGTACCCCAGAAAGGCTTAGAAACTGGAGGCACTGGGAGAAGCAAGATGGCAGAATCACAGCGCTCTCTGCCGCCCCTACCCACGGCCCTATGCCAACCCCACACTCTTAAGGGAATGAGACATATTCAGCAAGACTGAATCAGAGTGGCTCCTGGCTCAGGGGCAACCCACACAGTAAAAGGAAGAAGTGAAGTGTTGGTTTGAAAACAAGGAGACTAAGTGAAAATTTATAAATTGAATGGTGAGACATGTAGCTTTCTTCCCCCACTCAGCACTAGAAGCCTGTCACCTAAACTCATTACTTCTGCCAATCCACTCCTCTCTCCATTATTCCACTTATGCAGACAAATGGAAAAATGAAGGACCATTATTTAAAAGAACTGAAAGCCTTCTTACCCACCACCCAGAGAAAAGAAAGAAAGATAAAAACACAGGACTGCATTAGTCACTAAGCCATGCTCATGCATGCACAGTGAGCTTTCAAAGAGCTTTGGAACATACTCTTGAATATAAAGGAACTGCTAACGATGACACAGATCTGAAGAAAGCCTTCCAAAAAAATTAAGAGACCAAAACAACAACAGACCAAAAAAAAAAAATTAGAGGAATCAAAAACAATGCAAGGCACAGAAGAACATATCAAAGAAACTATAATTAATATCCTTGAAGATTATAACAGAAGATGCTATGTCCACGAAAAAGTAACAAGATGCTACAACATACAAACAGAGAAGAGTTCATAAAACCATTTTTTTTAAGAAAGCTGAAATGTTAAAATTCCATGAAAGGGTCGAAATCTCACAGATAGAACCAAAGATAGCTTTTTGGAGATCAAATTTCTCAAAATCAACGTTGGAAGACAGGCAATAATTTAATAACGATAATAATCCTCCAAAGTTTTGAGGGAAAATGATTTCCAATACAGAAATCTCTCAAAAGCCCAATGGTTAAGTGTGAGGATAAAAATAAAACCCTCAAAAATATATCACTCACGCATTCTTTCATAGTAATAGTAGAGAAACCAAAATGAAGGAATAAACCAAAAGACATGGGATCCAGGAAAAAAGGGACTCAACAAAAGTAAAAGAAATTCCCAGAATGTCCCAAGGTGACAGTTTTGCAGCATAAACCTAAAGAGAAAACAATCCAGACTAAAGCAGGAAGGACAGCCACAGAAGAGATGACTATAGGAATAAATGGAACTGATAAGTTTATCTGACAGATTTGACCATGTGGAAAATTGCACTGAGAAGCATTTTACAGAGTCGCTGGAGGGTATAAGAAGACTGGTAGAGAAAACTAAGCAAATGAAAAATAAGGCATGAAAAACAAAACGTTACACAAGAAAGGGAAATCATAGTAAACTATTATCTCAGCAGTGACAGATATTTGTCATAATGATGAAAACTCTGAATATGAATTTAATCTAAAACTGTGAAATAACAACAGTAGAAAGATGGGGGAAAGCCTAGTTGGAAAAATCTTTGAACACCTACGCCTTTAAAATCACTGACATATACCTCAAACTGTTCAATTCTAAGAAAAGCCTCTATTTTTTATGAGAGTTAAATTCTTTAACTACACTTTCAAGGCAAAAATTCAGTGAAATATTCTAGTTTTGTCTTAGAATACTTCAGAAGGTCATTCTAAGGAAATAAGTTAATAAACGTAAAGCCAAAATACTAACAAAAACTAGAAGATCTATACAAGTTTTATAGGTCAGTGAAATCAGTTAAGGCAGCTTACTATCTAAAAATGTTCACTTGTTTGCTGTAATTCTAAATGTTAGATACGTTCAGCACATGTCCACTTTTACCTTCTGCATTTACCAGTTAATAATTTATTCAGTCTTCAAGGAAAATGGGCTGTGAACTCTTCAGTAGATTACCTCTCATGCACCAAAATCTGGTTATCTTATAGTTCTAAAAATCTAAAATGTTTTGAGCTTTTTCTTTTTATAAAAAATAAATTTAACTTCTATTTGATGACTCAGGCTATCATACGAAGCCAGCTTTAGCACTATGACTAGATGGCCTCAGAGGTTTTAGGTGTGTAAGGCATCAGCCCTTATACCAAGTGGGCCTAGACTGGTATGCTTTTATTATTCTCCTGTTCATCAGATCTGTCAATGATTCTTCCTCTACCTGGACTGACACACCGTTTGATTTGTTATGAGGCTAAAAAAAAAAAATCATCATGCTTCTGACTCAAATAACATTTACCAAATGCCCTGTCTTTCATACACACACTTTCATTTAATCCAAATAATTTATGAGAATGGTAGCTTATGTAAAAATTTAGCAGTTCTAACTAAAGACTTAAAAAAAGACCCTACTACAAATAAATACAGGTGCTTAATTGCTTAATGGAGTTTGGGGGCTGGATCTTTTGGATTTTTTGTTGATTTATTTATTTTTGAGTGAAGGATCTATTTTCCTTGCTTTGGTGTTTTTATAGCTAATTTCCAGTTCTGGTTAAGACTGGTCAATCAGTGAGCTATGGGTTAATTGTGGGAGTCACTGAACCATTCTACATGCTATCCTATGAAGTATCCAACTTAGAGCAACACCAGAAAGAGTTATATACCTAAAAGAGCACTTGGTCAGTCATCCATTCACTAAGATTATCACAAAAAGCCCCCCAAAATGAGAATTGTATTGCAAATTCGGACTTTTATATTTGCAGTTGCATCTATACTGAATGCATGTATATAATCTTGCTATTTTAACACTACTGTTGCTTAAAAGTCTCCTTAGTTGAGTAAAACAATGTCAAGTCAGTTAAATCTGACCTTTAGAAGGATATGAGTACTTCCAAAATTAAGAGGGAAAGATTTTCACCATTAAATTTGCCACCAAGACACTGAAAAGCAATCCTTCTCTTTGATTTTTAGTTTTCTCTCAATAAAATAGCAGCATTCATATCAAAAAATAAAAAATAAAACAAAGAAAGAAAAGAAAAGAAAATCTTACCATACTGTTACTATCTAGTCACTACTCAAAAAAACTTACATCAATCATGGAAAAACATTTTAATGCAAAAGCTATCAATGCATATGTTAAGGCTTAACGATGTCAGCTGCAGCCTTCAAAAGGAGGATTCTAAATGTAATTTAAAAGACTAGAAAACTTTAACAGCCATTTCACTTTAAATATCATTAATGTGCTCCATATTTTGAGTTACAATTGTTAAAGAAGGCTTATTTATTTTCAGCCATTCCAATACATCAACAGGGTTATACCCAACTCACTTCCTCATTCAAAGGACTTTAGAGAGCAAATATACTGTTTACACATCACAAATAAGACTGATACTGAGCTGCAAATGCAGACTTACAGGCACTTTCAACGTTTAAATGTAAATATTTAAAAAAATACCTTTAAAATACCTGACTAAAAGTTGTATAAATTTCATCCTCAAAACCACTTTCCTAGAAACAACACTCCAAAGCTGAGATCTTCTTTACCTTGTGCCAGAGTACCTGATGGCTGTGCTCAGATGTCAAAGCTTTGCTACAGGCGAAATATCAAAGTTAACACTGTTGCTACATACTCGTGTGCAACATTTTTTAAAATTGTGAAAACAGCTATTCTACTTCAAACATACAGAGAATTTTTCATGATCTAAGCTACCATTATATCAACATTAAAACTGCTTGACATTTCATGTTTCCTAAAATACAAAAAATACTTTGATACACTATCAACGCACATTATAATGAAGATCATTATCTGCTTTAAGCTTTTGCTCACATAAAGATCTAATTTTCAACCAGTCTCCATGTTGTACCACTGCCAAATCACTGTGTATCAACAGCTAAAAAGGTAGAACCATCTGTTTTAAAGAAACTTTCTGAAAATTACACGACTAGCCTACATTTTAAAAGAAAACCGTCTAACCGTGTCCGAAAAGGACGCTTAAGAATTTGCCTCTCTCTGATGCTGAAACATTTTGCAGCAAGTACTTGGTCTGGCCAAAAAAAAAAAGTCAATGCTCCTGATTTTATCATATGCTGCATGAAAAGAAGAACATGGCTGCAAATTCTTTCTGAGGGGTGGTATTTCAAACAGGACCACTCAAAACACTTTAGAATACGCAGCCGAGAGGAGGGTGCAAGGAGGGTACCTTATGAAACAGCACACTCCGGGCCCTGCACGCTACCTCATTTCCCTAATAGGGATGAAATGCTCAGGCCTCTGGTAGCTTCCAGCTGACGCCAATGTTCTCCACACCCCCTTTTTTGACAGAATTTTCTGGCGTTGGAGCCTGTGTCACAAATATAAATTCCGTGATCACGTCTAAACGGTCTAATAATCAGTCATCTTTTACAGGACCAAACCCTTCCCGATCCCATTCCCTCCCATCTCCCTCCTTGGCCAAACACCCCTAGGCGGGTCCTCCCGACCGAATTCTACAAATCCTGCAGCGCATTAACTGGGAGGCAGAAACGATATAGAAAATAAGAGTGTGGGCCATTTCTTTTCGCTGCGACCGAAATTACAGGCTCCATTTCCTGTCCCCGTGGGGACTGCAAAATCGCCTGCGGAGAACGGGACGCCCCCCGCCCTCTACAGGCTGGCGCATGCGGCCCCGGCGCGCCCCCTGCCCGGGCCCCGCTGGTGCAGGGGGTGGCGGGGACCCCAGGCGCCCTCCCCTCCCCCCTCTCGGCACCGGCACCCACCTCGCGGCAGTGGCTTCATCTCCCCGTTCTCCTCGCGGGCAGCCCCGCCGGCCTCGCCCGCCCCACCGAGGCCGTGCCTCCTCCGTTCCTTCTCTCGCTTCTCCTTGGGTCTGCGCGGCTTGGCGGTGGCCGAGGAGGCGGCGGCCGGCAGCAGGAGCTGGTGAGGCTGAGCGTGCAGCAGCGTAGGAGGCACCAGCAGTTTGCGCGGCACCGACTGGGACGAGGAAGCGGAGGCTGGGGAGGGGACGGCCGTGCCGGCGGAAAAAGAGAAACTGCTCCGAGCAGAGGACGGGGAGGGGGCAGCAGACAGAGCGGCAAAGCTCCAAGACGCGGGGCTGCCATAGCTCTGAGGCGAAGGTGCCGCCGGCGACTGCAGCTGTCTGCTGTTCCCGCCGCTGCCTCCTTCTCCGTTCAGTCTCCGCGGCGCCTTCTTCTCCTCAGTCCGGATCTTCTTGGCGGACAGAGGTGCCGGCGGGTCCCGGGAAGGGGGATGCAGCTTGCCAAACGGTTCTTTCTCCGACACGACGGTGGAGGCGGCGGCGCCGTGCATTGGGCTTGGCGGTTCCGCCATTTTGCGCTCCTGTTGTATTTACTCTCCTCCGCTCGCGACGCGGGGCAGGGGCGGGCTCTCCGCTGGGGGCGGGGGAGAGGCAGAGCGGCCCGGCCACCGGCCAGGCCCTCCATTGGGCGAGTCACTCTGAGGGATCCCTCTAAGAACCAATCAAAGGTGCGAGTCTCGAGCCGTAGTGGATAGGGAGGCTGGCCTAGCGTACTAGTTTTGGAGGTCACAGCTGCGCGGGGCGCGGCTAGTGAGCGAGCGAGCTGTGAGAGGAGGGTCTTCCAGTGGTCGCCACCGTGAGCTCTGGTGCGACCCGTGGGTGTCCGAGAAGAATCCCACTCCAGACCCCAAAATCTGCCCCGGCCCAGGTTTGCCTCGATGACTTTGTCTTGCATTTCTTTCCCTTCAGTTTTTCCTGGGGTCCCTTTGGCCCCTCCTCTGCCCCTTCCCGCTGAGAAAAGCCGAATTTCTCAGATTCTCAGCTCTGAGGAGAAAATTTTGCCGGAAATTAAATCCTTCCTTCTGGTAGGCAGTAGTCGATTAATGGGAGTCACTTGGTGTCCTGACAAGATATGTTACTGTTTGCTGAGATCGTCATCTCTGATACATCTCTGAGGGAGATAACTTCTTGCAAACCTAGAACTTTCAGATTACTACCGAGCTTGAAGGTAAGACTCTTCCGGAGATTTTTTTTTTTAACTTTTGTGATTGGACCCTGAAGGATTTTAATTTTATTGTCATTATTATAACTCAGATTCGCTAAGAAAAATCCATTAGCGATATTTATAGATATTTGAAAAGAAAGGATTTTAAGTGTGTGTTTTAGCGTTTAGTTAGTACGCTGAGTGTTAGATGTTTTGTAAGCATGTGCTTTGTTTTCTGGCTTTGAAGGTGAGTAATTTGGGGAGATGGGTTACAGTAATTGCAACCAAAGTGAAGAGCACAGCTGTAATTTTACTTTCAGGTCTTACATGAGACCAAAAAAGTCAAAATAGGAAAAATATGGAGAAGTAAAAATAGTCAAATCAGGAGATGACCAGTCACATGATATTTTGTGTCCTAAAAGGAGCCCTAAGTTGCCTGTAACTTTGTGGAAAACAATTAAGAGTAGTTTTCCAGGATTACCAATTTTTGTGACCTCATGAAGTTGGATTTATTTTGTTATCACTTTTGAGGAGTGAGGGGGGTTGGTTTTTTAGAATATTTTGGAGTCAAAGTTAATATTGGTTTGTAGACTTTTTTAGGTGCCTCATTTATAAAGTAATGAAAAGTATTTACTATACTTCCTTTAATTCATAACAATGAAAGCAAGTGTAAACTTTGTAGTTAGATTTAACTGGCGGTAGATGTCTTCCTGAAAAGTAGCATTGGTGGAAGAGTAGACAGAGTATGGGGCTGGAAATATCTGCTACTAACCAGCTTTGTGAGGGTGCCTGTATTTGTCAGAATTTCTGTTTTATTGGTTAAGTGAGTAAATTTGATCACTAAGGTCTCTTTTGGCCTCTAAACTGTCTCTTATGTACATTAATACAGTTCCTGAAAAGTTGCACCATTTATTTTCTCATTTCCCACACAGAAGTCTGGAAAATCTGACTTCATAAAGACCCGGTTAAAGTGTACTCTCACCTAAATTTATTACTACTTGCACTGTACTCTTTTATACTATTATACACACTTATCAAGTCTGACCCTAAATTTGTAGAGCCTGAGCATGAGTGTGGTTATGGAGGCTTACAGACCATGTGTCTAAGTATTGAAGTTATAAATCAAGATAACAAACTATTATTAAAAATATGTTCTACTCTGCTACCGTGGCAAATCTTCTTAAATAATGATCTGGAAGGCCAGATTTAAATTTAGAATTCTCAGACTTCTAAAGTCCTCAGACTGACCCTGTTCTCTTCCCATTCCCAGCTTGGCTTCACTCACCTCACCCAACATGTCCAAGCATTTGTCCACACTCCTGAACCTCATGCAGAGGGTGGTGTGTCATCAGCTGCTCCATCTGCCCTCAGATCTAGCCAGTCTGAAAGAGGAGTGCAGGCTCCTGGCAGACATGGCCCCTTGACTCACAGACTCCTTGCCCTTTGCAGCAGCAGGAGGGTCCTCACCCAGATCTAAGGACAGTGCTGTTATAAAACATGCTCAGTTATCTATCTTCTCAGCTGTATAATTGGCCATTCCTTTTCAACTAGATCATTCCTAAACATCATGAACTAGGAGAGAAATCCCACCACTATCACCAGTTCCTACTGGCTTAATCTCTACTAGCACTAAAACCATCCACTTCTCTCCATAGCTACCATTGGCACCCTTTTCCAAAGCCACCCTTCTCACCTGGATGACTACACTAGCCTTTTTTTTTTTTTTTTTGGTCTTCTTATATTCCAGTTTTCTCAGATCTGTTTTCCATTCTACTGAGAATGCTCTTTTCAAACCTAAATCTGATCATGTCACTTTCCTTGCTTCAGATCTGTCAATGGCTTCCATTGCTTTTAGGATAAAGAACGAAATCTTTAATTGACCTACAAAACCCATCATGATCTAGCCCCTTCCTCTTCTATTTCAGAGTAAAAGGTCCTTAATTTCCAGAATACAGTGTTCTATCTTTCACTTTAGGAATATTGCATTTGTTGTTTCCTCTACCTGATGATTACGTGATGGTTTGGCTAATGGGCTTAATGGAGATAGATATCATGAATAACTTATGTTTCTAACCTGCATGACTTGATGGGTAGTGGGACCATTCACTGAGCTAGGAAACACTGGAAGAGTGACTAGTTTGGATGCTCTTTGACTTTGGGCCTGATGAACATGAGGTACCTCTGAGATATCACATCCTTCGGATCTCATCTCAAGCTAAGCCTCACTTCCTTGGAGAAGCCTTCTCTTTCTGTCAGGACTAGATTCCTTCCTTGTTTGTTCTTCTTCTTCTCAGCTTCATTTCTTTTTACTTGTTGTTGCCTCACTGATAATCTCTCCCACCTTTTTCCATTCCCTCCTCTGTAACAGCAGCTCTGTTGAAAACATACTAGTCTATACCCTGCTTCTCCATCTTCTTGTCTGAAACCTGACTGCCTGCTGAGGACACAGACTGTACTTTTCAAGTTTGCCTCCCCAGTTCTGCATCACAGAATTTCAGATTATTATTACTCTTTCAATATCATGCAAAGCCCTTCCTCCTATGAGATTTTTGTGGTATGTCTGTACCATCCGTCACTGTCTTTGTGGTCATTTTACCACATTTATTGAAGACCTTGATACTTAGCTCATGTTCATCCCTCTACCCTCCAGCCATCATTTTAACTAACTTCAGAATCCATCTTAATGACCCATCCACTATTCTTGCCTCAGTGTTTCTCCTTGGACCTGCATTTCCATTGTTCAAGCCACAAACTCCAGTGGACCCTCCTTGATCTTTCATCACTCTTCCATCTCTGAAATCCTAAACTATAGTGGTTTAATATTCAGCTTTCTCACTCTTCTGCACCATGCCCTTGCCCTATAACCTCAGGAGAACTCTCATCTCTAGATCTTTCTTTTCTCCCTAATTATGATTGCCAAGAAAAGTATAGGCTACTCAGCTAAATTTGAATTTCAGATAAACGATGAATAAATTTTTAGTGTTGGAACCTATTTATACTAAAAAAAAAGTATTCTTTGTTTATGTGAAATTCAGATTTAACTGCATGTCCCTTGTTTATATTCCCAGTAAATCTGGCAGTCCTACACCAATCCATCCTTTCTATGCTTTCTTCCCTATCCAACCTAGAACCTGTGACATATGACTTGAACCAAACATTTGCCAGGACCTCAACTCCTCATAACTCTGATTCTCTTCATCTCTATGCTGCTAGCCCCCCACCTCTACCTGCTCTTCTGTATCCCAGCAGCTGAGCGTTGCTCCCTATCTTCCATGTAAATGTTGGGGATTCTTAGGGATATGTCATTGCTCTTTATCTTACTCTGCACAGCTCTGTGTGGTATTATGCATTACAGTGTCTTCTGATTTATCATAAATGCTGACACTTTCTAAGGCTTTCTTTCCTGCCTCTCTTCCTGACTCTAATTCATATGCCAGGTGGATGTCGTGAACTGTGTAGCCACAGATACCTCAGACTTTATTCCATCCATTCCCATTGTCCCCTGGATCATTCTTCTGCATTCCTTATCCACCTTTTCTTTCTTTTTTTTTTTTAAAGCAAGTATTGAGTTCTTTACTTTATTCTTTTTTTAACATTTTTTATTGATTTATAATCATTTTACAATGTTGTGTCAAATTCCAGTGTAGAGCACAATTTTTCACTTATACATGAACATATATATATTCATTGTCACATTTTTTGCTCTGTGAGCTTCCATAAGATCTTGTGTATATTTCCCTGTGCTATACAGTATAATCTTGTTTATCTGTTCTACAATTTTGAAATCCCAGTCTGTCCCTTCCCACCCCCCCGCCCCCTTTTATCCACCTTTTCATTCAAGCTACAAGCCTGCAAATCTTTGACTTCCTTTTTTCCCTCACCCCCCACATTCAAGGAGTCACTATCTATCTCCAGCCAGTTTCTTTTCTCCATTCTGCTGCTTGTTGCCATCAGGCCTCAAGGCAGCTTGGATTTTGCCAATGATTTCCTTCCTAACTGGTCTCTGCCTCCAGTCTTCCGTCTTCTAAACTATCCTTCATACTGCTTCCAAAATTATAATTTCTGAAATATAAACCTGATCATGGCTCAGTCTCTTGACTAGTTCCCTTGTGCATGTGACGTAAAAATCACACTTTTTATTATAAATACAAGCCATTCTTGATAAAACCCCAGCACTTCTATCTCTCTCACTCTCCTGCAGCTTTCCTGTTTCATCTATTCTGAACTATGTAATTGGCGAAAGAAAGGCACTCCCTGTCCCTCTGTGCATTCTGTTTACTCTGCCTGGAGTACCCCAGCAAAGTTCTGCCTATCCTCTAAGATTGGGTTCAAGCAGCTCCTTAGTACTGTGCTACCTGACCTGCCACAGCAGAGTTGAATCTGTGCCATCATCATTCTGCCTAGGATCATTTGACACACTAGTCTCTGCTTCTAACCTTCCAGCTCCTCAAGGGCAGAGATAATGCGTTATTTATACTTGTATGTATCTCTTCTACCCTTCTAGCATGGATATCTCAAGTCCTACCTCTACCACATTGACCTGCTCATCCATAGGTGTCTTTCTTATGTGAATCATCACTAGCCAGTTGTAAAAGGTGGTTCTGTGCATTAGGACAGCCTGATCGTTTCAACTTTCTTACGGTCAGTTCTAATTTAGTTCACATCTAGGACAGGAACCAGTAAACTTGTCCTGTAAGACCAAATAGTAAATATTTTAGGTTTTGCAGACCACATGTCTCTGTAGCAACTACTGCTTATATCACAAAAGCAGCCACAGAGAATATGTAAATGAATGGGCATGGCTGGTTCCAATAAAACCAGAAAAATAGGCGGGATAGATTTAGCCTGCAGGATACAGTTTGCTGAGTCTTGCTCTAGGATTTTGACTTCTACCATTATACCACGTGAAAATATAGTTGAGCATCTCTTCCACACTCCCCCTTTCTCCTGCTGCGTCAGTCACATGGCTTTCTCCCTGTTCCTTCATCATGCCCAGTCCTGCCTCAGACTCTTAGCCCAGGCTGTTTCCCTGCCTGAAATGCTTCCTCCCTCTCACCCCCAACTCTCTTCTTGCAGACAGATACCATTACAGGCCTTCCTTCACCATTCAGTTTAAGGTGGCTCTTTTCATTATTCTCTGTCACAGCATTCTCTCTCTTTCAGAGCACCTATCACAGTTTGTAATTATTTTACAGTTATTTCTTTACTCTTTATTGTTTCTCTCCCTCAGTAAACAGTAACCTCCAAGGGACCAGGAGCCATATCTTTCTTACTCACTCTTATTCACCAGTGTATCTCTGGAACTTAACAAAATGCCTTGTATACATTAAACACTCACCAAGTATTTATTAAATGATAAATCTGTTAATAACTCAGACCAAATTCTGATTCGCCAATTTAGTTGCTTTTGCCAGAAACTGATAGGATACTTCTATAGTAGTTGAAAGTTTTATCCACAAAAAAGTCAAAATTTTAGCTTTCCGATGAATCATCTTATACTTACATGTGCATTTTAGTCATAGTGACTTGTTAATACATTAGTTTTACCGTTTCTTAATGTGTTAGTACACTGATGCATTGAAAGTTCATATGACTCAGAATGCCTTTCTGTAACTCTTCCTAAGGTATAGAATAGTAGCTGTAAGCTGCAGATCTGAATTGGTGAAGCAACGTCAAGTTTGTAGCATGAAAGTTTATGGGTGTTATACCTCATGTAGGGATGGTGAGGGCTATAAGAAAAACACTAACATAATCTTGTCCTTTAGCAAAAATAAAAAATCTATTTGGATGATAGAGTAGTGACAAGAGTAAGAAGGTCATTTGATAGCATTCTTCAGAACCTTGGAGTTCAGCATCTCTGAATAAACTTCAAAAAGGACTCTATTAAACTAGAACAAAACATATCTAAGGCCAGTCTCTTTGTATTCATCTGAAAACCTTCTTTTATATTACTGAGATAAAAAACTTATGGACCAGCATTGCATCCATCCACACCTAACCTGTTAAAAGAACTGTTGGAATTGACTATAGGAAAGGAAACTTAGTAAGCTGCGTAACATTATATTGCTGTCCTTTCTATTGACAGATAAGATTCCTATCAAGTTTGAACTCATGTATACAAATGTGACAAGAGAACCTACTGAACCATAGATTCATCATTAAGTTATTTGGCATCCACCAACACTGGGCTCTGTAATGATTATGTAAATCTTTTCCCTCATCCTGATTATAATAATTATTAAATTTAGAAAGTAGAAAAGAATCATTTGAGGTTCCAGGTTTGAGACATACTGTGTGCTATAAGTGGAAGTGTTGCATGCAGAAATAAAGTAACTCTGGTTAAAAAAATAAAAGGCAATTAATTATTATGCAAGATGGTTACAAGAAAAATTACCCAAGTAACATTTGTTTAGCCATTTAGTATGTAATATTAAATTTTTTTAATAAATAAAGGATGAATGTGGAGATACTGAGAGAGAATTATCTGTGAAATTCAGCTGCTACTATCAGTTCACTTGGATATTGCAAAAACATTTCAGACTCATCACATCAGCTCTGTCCTCTTCTCAGACATTATTAAACAATAGAGGTTCTCAAGTTTCAGTTCAAGGGCCTTTTTTTCCTTCAGATTATTCTTTTTCCTGGCCAATCTATAAAATGCCCATAACTTCAATAAGTTGCTTTTATAGTAATGGCTCCGCACCATACATCTCTGAACCTGACTGCTCCTCTGTGTTTGTGACCTAACCACTCAGCATCTTCCACAGATAGGTCAGAAGCACCTCAAACTCAACATGTCTGTGGCAGAGATGGCTAGTCTCTGTTTTCCCCTTTCTTCCTTACTACCCAAAACTTTATTTCATCCAGGTTGCAATATGCCTAGCTAAAAAAACAAAGAAACATAGACTGCCCAACCTCCCTTACTCCTAGAGATGACAGTGATGCCTTGCAAGTCTCTAGGTGAGGCTTTCCTGACAGCCCCTTTAAGAGTGGAAGGGGGCACATAGCCTGCTTGCCCTTCCCCCTTTCTCTCCTGCATGGAACTTGGATAAGGGGAGAAAAAGAAGGGCCACAACTGTCATTATTGAAAAGCCTTCAGCCCGTATTTTTCTTATTCAACATTTCAGGTGAGTTGACTTCTCACCTGTTAACCACTAATATCATTTTACAACAAATACTGCCTAAGCGCTTGCTCAACCACAATCTTCTTTCCAGTGTGAGTATGTACTCAAGTTTAGGGGATGTTGAAAATTGTAGGTGAGGGAGTGGCTGCTGTTGAAAGGCTTTATTGGAGAACCAGCAGCAACCAGGAAGCAGGAAGAAGGTAGAAAGTGAAAGGGGCCAAATAGTGTAAATAGAAACTATCCATCATGTCTCTTGAAAGATTAATTTTGCTGCCAAAGTTTTTGTGTGGAAGGACATTAGATCATTTGATATTTATTTTAAAAAATGAATGTGAAGCCTATAAAATGTATAAAAAGAGCCTTACTCAGTGTTGTAAACTCTGAAAGGAAAAGCATAACTTTTGTAGTCTAGTCAATTCTCTGGGAAGAGGGAACTATTTTAGCTAAGAATTGGTAGGTAGAGGGTAAAGTATATATTATAACCTCAAAACACAAGTGTGGCAAACAAGTGTAAAGAAAAATGATAAACTCACAGGATTTCTGGATTGAAAACACAAGCCTGCACCCAATTTGTGAATTTCCTTTTATTTTGTTCTTGAACAGGAAAATTTCACCTCCAGAATAACTGTTCTCTGCTTCATAGTTTCAGCCACACTATCAGACCATCACCATGGGTAGGAGAATAACATTTACTGAGCACCTTGTGTAAGCCTCAAGTTTGTGGGCATTTCACTTCAAAGCATACTTTGAAAAGTCTTCCAACGTGTTTTTCAAAACTGAACTGTAATTCCATGTTCATTCTGACTCTAAACCAGTTTTCTTTCTAATACATCCAACCTTGCAAGAGGAAGCAGAAGTCTAAAGTGCCAAAATTTTAAATCTAAACATTGATCAAGCCTTTTTAGAAATGTCAGTCACTTAAACTATGTTCAGAAAATACACATTCAGAAAAGATGTAGTGTTTCTTAGGGCTCTTCTAGGCACAAGTGCTTTTATCTCATAGAAAAGACTAGTCCAGGAGTGTTTCTAGGATAAAGAGTAAGAGTGGGAGAGGGTAGGGACAGACAGACCTGTATAAACAGTGACTTGAACTTCCAGAGACAATTTATAATTCAGTTGCCCAGAGAAAAGCTGTGTGACCTGAACATCCCAGAGCTGGTCTAACAGATTCTGGGAGGAGATGACCCACAGAAGAGCAATTTTGTGGAAATACTGCACATGTCAGTAGAGCCAGGAAATTACAAAATTATGACTGTCACAAAGTTACCATTTCTTTCTTCTTCTTCTTTTTTTTTTCAGTTTCACAGATTCTACTTTGAAAAGCTTGTGTGAATAATTTATGAACAGTGCTACGAAGTAACATGCATCTTGCCCCAGATCCAAGTGTTGGCTTTTCTTAATTCCCTTCAACTGAATAACTACATCTGTATACCATTAGGTTGAAAAAATAGATGTATAACTAAAAGAGCTAAACTGAAAAAAAAAAAAAGTCAAACAAATACCCTCTTTTAGTTAACTTTTAAATCTAACTCAAGCTGATTAAATCTGTTTACATTATAATTTCTATTTTTAGAATTTTAATCCTAGTCTTTTCCCTGTTTAATCCCTATTTTGATTTCAATGAGTAGAAAATTCTAAGTCCTAGAATAATGTCACTGGGAGTTTTACATCTGTTAGTGAAAGAAGACAGATAAAGGAGGTCCAAATCAGGTACCCGGAAACCTTGACTACCAAGGCATGAAACCTGGGGTCAAGGTTTACCACATCTAAGCTTGCCAGCACAGATGGACAAGTCCAAGTGCCAAGCAAAGAGGATAAGCTTTCCATGTGTAAAGTTGTTGTAACTTTGGGTGGAGTTTGCCCTGAAGTCTTAATCTTACTGTCTGAGTTTACAAATACTACCAGAGCGCCTTGCCCATCACCTTGATCTAGGTCAAAAGTGTGGGTGATATGGATGGTCAGTATCGTCAGCTTCTTCACAGTGAACTGTCAGTACATGAGCATACGTTTTAGAGGCAGAGAGGTCCTCTTAAATATTGTTTGATGATGATGCCAAGTGAAGTGCTTCAATGATTATCATAGGGAAACAAGCCTAAAATAATGCAGCACTGATATGAATTACAGGTAGCCAGTCATAATGTGGTGCACTTAATAACTAACTCAGTTTAGGGATTAAATACCACTTCTGATGCCCCAAGTAGAGGCATTAAATAGAAAAACACAGAATAGTGGCAAATGATACGGATTTTTTTTTTTTTGCAGATGTTCGGACCATTGTTAATTTATTTCTATTGGTAGGCTAATGTCTTTGACTACTCTATGACTAATTGAAAACATAAATCATATTTACTTCAATTTATATTGCCTCTCCCCCCAGTATTTTTTCATGTTTATAATAAGATGTTTAGTAATTTAAAAACATTTTTTGCTAATCAATGCTGTTATTATTTTCTAGTTTCTTTTTTCCCTGTTATACTATCTCTTATGCTAGAGGTGTTTCTCTTATTACCTAGTCAGTTTATCTTCAAGTAATTATTAGATATTCTGCTTTTTCTTATTTTCCATATACATTAAGTATTTAGTTAGTAAATATTTATAAAGTACCCACATGGTGCCAGGCAATAGGCTAAGTGCTAGGAATATAGTAACAGATAAGGCAGACATGGTCCCTGTCCTCATGGAGCAGCTCAGAAGTTACAATTTCTATTTTTAAATAAGCTTTTCATTGGTGCTTTGTTAATCAAGACTGTCATTTCATTTCTTATTTATTTATACAAAGATGATACTGAATATCTGTAGTTTACCCAGCACTCTGTGATAATTGAGAAGATAGGTGTCAACAGTTAAATTATAGCACTGTGGTTAAAATAACGCAATGGTGGCATGAACTATGTGCACTGAAAATAGAAAAGGCAAATCAACAACTCGAGCTAGAGAAATGAGGTAGAGCATCCCAGAGAAGATGATATTCAAACTGAATTTTGAAAGATTTAGTAGAAAGAGAAGATGGAAGAAGACTTTTGAGGCTGAGGAAAGAGCATTTGGAAAAAGATGTGGAATAATGACATGTTTAATATGGTATTCTCTGTGAGAAGTTCATGGTAGTTCAGGTATAAGGGATATAAAGTGCCATAAAAGGAGTCTTTAAGTGGACTAGAGCCAGACTGGGAAAGGTGTTGCTCGTGACTGCCTTGGCATGCTGAAGACTCAGTGCAAGCATTCTGTTAACTTAAGGGATTAATGAGGAAGGGTGGAAAATGTTCACATAACTGTGTTTCACTTCCTGCTAATTGCTCGCAGACTTCACCGGGTATTGCTTCCTGAGTAGCTGAATATTTCTACAGGCCATGGCTTTTACCTCTCCTTACAGTACAAACTGAATAAAATTCGGAGAAACTTGACATTCTGAAATTAGATTTACCTCACTAAAATATTGTTGGAATTTAAAAGGTCATATTCATTTTGTACAACTAATCCTTTAGTTCTCCTGTTATATTCCTACTTATGATTACTTATGTTTTTTATTGGAAAGCATAAAAATATTTTGAAAGTAAAATGGTAAAATTATGAAATATTTTTATCTTAATTACAAAACAATACTTACTTTCTTCCAGCTTTTTCTCTGTTTTTAAAAATCAACTGTCCCTTTTGAAGAGATTTTACCACACACATAGATGCAAAAGCGAGGGAAAATAGTTCAAAATACTGTTGAATTAAATAAAGCCAAGGAATCTTAAACCAATGGTTTATTTGTATAGGAGGGATCGAGTCAATACTTACCCATTCTTGAAAAGGAAAATCTGAAAGCGGAAGATTTGTATAAGCCTTTCCTTAATTTTAAGAAGCATGTATTAAGGATTTACTTTATGTCAGACTACATTTTAGTCACTGGAAATATAAAAATGAATAGTACAGTCCTTTCTCTCAATGGAATTGTGATCCAGTGAAATGTTAAGTTCAAACCCCTAAAGTTGCATCAATTTTTCAGGTCAAAAATGGTTAAATATCAGTTCTGCCTAAATATATATGTAAATAGAAATTTGCAATAATAGAGATATGAACAAGGTGCTACGTGCCCTGAAAAAGTGCTTTGTGCTGCCTAGAGGAGTCTGTGTAGATTTTCCAGAGGAGATGACATTTGAGCTGAGTTTCAGAAAATGACTGGGTGTTCACCATGTGTTCATGGGAAGCAAAGAGAGTGCGCACATTCCAGCAATAGGAAACAGGATGTGCAGAGTTTTTGAACCGAGAAAGAGCCTAGCATATGTGGGAAACTGCAAGTATTTCATATTGGTTGGAATGCTGGGTATGCTGTGGGTGACAGGAGAAGAGGCAGGCAAAGTAAGCAGAGGACAGATCGTGTGAGGTGGGATATATCAAGCCAAAGAGTTTGATTTTATCCTTTGTGATGAGATGGGTATAATCCACAGTATGCGAGGCAATCTGTTAGGGTTCAGAAAGAAAATATTACTACTCCTTTGTATATTTACCTTTGTCTTGTCTTTTTAAATTTTCTAATTGTGTAAGGATTACAGTGTATATAATTCTTAACTGCAGTAGTGGGTATAAGTAATTTATAAATAAATAAATATATGTGTATTATGGTGCCGTATGGGTTGAATTGCATCCCTCCACAGAATTTGTTGAAATGTTAACCTCAGGTGTTTCAGAATGTGACCCTAACTGAAAACAGAGTCATTGTAGATGCAGTTAGTTAAGATGAGGTTGTACTAGAGTACAGTTGGCCCCTAATCTAGTATGACTGGTGTCCTTACAAAAAGGCAAACATGACATCGAGATGAAGGTAGACATTGAGGTAATGCTCCTCTAAGCCAGGGAACTCCAAGATTGCCAATCTTCTGTTAGGAGCTAGAGGAGAAGCATGGAACGGATCCCTCCCTTACAGCCCTCAGAGGAAACTATCCATGCTGACACCTTGATCTTGGACTCCCAGTCTCCCAAACTGTGAGACATAATACTCTGTTGTTTAAGCCACCTAGTTTGTGGTACTTTGTCACAACAGTCCTGGAGAACGAATGCATGGTACATGATCAGAAAGTTTGGAAACCCTGATCAGATGATAAGGAGCAAAGGAAGAGTTGGTTTGTGTTTTAGTTAGAACTATTTATCTCCTGTCATTATTGAGTCTCAATATTCAGTGATTTACTTTAGCTTAATTTCTTGCCTTTACAGTACTTTACTTCTTAAAAACATAGTTTGAAAACAAATTGTTCACATTTGTGTTTAGTATAGTTTGTGTTAAAGGAAGGAGAAATTAGAAAATATTTACCTTTAGCTCAAAACAGACAGGGTGATAATATGTAACACTTTGGGGGGAAAATTACATTTAAGAAAGAGTATTTTTTCTGGGGTTTTTTTTTCCTTTTCTTTTTGAAAAAAGAGTATCACTTAAACCCATTAGGCAGAAGTGGAACTAAAATCAGAAACAGAGTCCTATCAACAGAAGTCATAGCTGTGAAGAATTTAATAGTATATCATCAGTGTAGGGAAGACTGTAGGCAAAATATGTATTATTCTAGCTACATAATTTTCAAGTATTAAGGACAGTCAGTCCTTTTTATAGAAATTATATGTTAGTCATTTGAGGTTCCAAAACAAAATGATCAAGAGAGTTTTCAACGCCAGCAATGATATCCTACACTCAGATGTATATATTTGAAGCGTATTTGTAAGTCTGCAAAATCTAGAAGTCAGCAATACATTATTTAATTAATAATATTAATATAAAGTATATTTTATGAATTATATTTGGGGCATTTTAGATCTTTGTGGGCCATGGAATAGTTGATAATTTTTGGCCTTATTTATGCAAATCAAATGAAGCATTTTGAAATATCACCACTTTTAAAAAAAAATCCATGTGTATTTGTAATAGTTCTGCCATCAACTAGACAAGTAGTTTTCAGACTTTTTAAAGTAAGAGAATCCTTTCTTCAAATGAATTCTTATGTGGAAGCGAAATATGTAATAACTACATTAGGCAGCTTACTCCATGACAGAGGGCTATATACCCTTGATGTTTTAAATCTTTGTTTCTTATATCTAGTCTGGAAGTTCTATATTTTGTGGATGTATATTCTGTCTTCACTGTGTAATATGTTAGCAGAATGAACAGGAATTTACACGATATGGGAATAATAAATATCCCACTGACCTGTGATACTAGGGCCTATACTTGAAGTTGCTTTCCCACAGTGGAATTGGATTTATAAGAATCCATCCATCATCTCTAATGTGGTCCCCTTTGTGACCGACACAGCAGTCTGTGACCTAGAACTAGCTACTTGGCCAAGAATGTAATATCTACTATTCTCATGACTTCTTCCCTTTTTCTGCTCTTACCTCTGTTCTTTTAGCAGTTTCTATTTTCTCTCTGTTCGCTTAACTATACCTTTGCTACCTTTGGACTCCAATAAACTCAAAAACCGGTTTGTCCAGTTTCATACATGGTTATTTTTTTCCCTCACCTATGACTTACAGTCATATTGCTGTAAAGCTGATAAATATTTGAAACTATATATACTTTTTATATGCTTAGATTATTATTTTAAAAATAGCACTACATGGAGAGGGGATAGCAGTGGACTCAGAATTAAGAGTTTTTGCATTCATGGCATTTATTAGATGGCTCGTATTTCTAAGATCAAGATATGTCAGGTGCCAGTCTGACAGCCCATACATCACAATTTAGAGACTTCTACCTTCCTGAAATATACATTTAAAAGAATGTAAATAACAGACTATTCAGATAATTGATTGTCAGTGAATCTTTTCAATAAAAATATAATCAGAGTCTTTATTCTTTTAGCAAATATTTATTGAGCCCCTACCATGTGCTAACAGTCATTATGGTAAATTTTAGGTATACAGTGGCAAACTAAGTGAATATGACCCCAGCCTTACAGAATAGATGTATTACACCAAAAAAATCTGTGTGTGTGTGTGTATATATCTATATATATATATATGCTGGTATGAGTTATGAAGCAAATAAACAGTTCTGCAGCAGGAGTAGAAGAAACTATTTTAAATAGAACAGTCAGAAAAGGAATAGAAAGTGAAAAGAAAAGCATTCTAGTCAGAGAATAGCTTGTGCAAAGGCCCTGAGACAGAACAAGGTAGCTGGGCTTATTCAAGGAACAAATAGAATATTGAGTTTCTTGAGGAAAAGATTATTCTCTTTTGTCTAGAACAATGTACTTTAAATAATAAGCACTATAGAAATATTTGTGTATAACTGAATGACTATCTGTATACCTAGGATGTAGTGAGTACAAGCTGAGGTTGCAAGGACTAGACTATGCCAAGCCCTATTAAAAAAAACCTCTGGGATATAATTTACTTTTTATAAAGCTTACTCAAAATTATGTGAGGAATTGTTTGATGGAGATCAAAAATGGAAGAAGGGAAACCCAGGTTCATGGTACCGTAGAGGTTGAGATCAAGAAATCACTAAATGACTGTTAGAGCCAGGGTCAGTGGGTTTAACATCCTGCCCATTTCACCTCTTGAACAGCTTAGTGAAGTGAATGTATCTGATTTATATTTGCACCCCCCAGGGCAACCACAGCCCCTCAACCCCCAGACCAAGCCTAGAAAGAAATTAACCTTTGGCTAAGAATTCAATCAAACCCTTTGAAAGTAATTTCACAGTTTCTCCTGGGTCTTTGTATTATTGAGGGAGTGACCGTGTTAAACGAAGTAAAAGGGAACATCAAGAATGTGGATTATTCTACAAGATAACTGATGACTTGGTCTTGTTAAAAAAAAAAAAAGTCCATGCCATGGGGGAGAAAAAAGAAAAGAAACATTCTGGTTATCTGCTGCAGTTATGCCCACTGAGTGTCTCTTCTGAAGAGATTTTACCACACATACAAAAGCAAAAGCAAGGGAAAATCTTTTTTTAAAATATGGTTATGCTCAATAAAGCATGAAACTTACACTAGTGGTTATTCCTTTAGAAGGCTTGCCCCCTCACACCTCCTCTGGCACTGTTTGTGAGGGAATAAGCTTCTTTTGTGGCGATTCTAACCATAGTTCTAGGCAGAGACCAGCAGAATTGAACCTAGAGATTGGCAGAGAAGTGTCTGGGAAGCTACAGAGTGATCACTTGGTGGATAATTCAGAGGAACATTCAGACGAAACCCCTTTTCACAGCATATACTAAAAATAACCTTGAGTGCAGCTGCAAGGCTGACGGTTGTTTTACAGCATTGATCAGCACGTAGGTTCTCAGTGAATGGGGATTTGCTACCTCACAGAATAGCCTGTTCTATTTGAATTTTCCTAGTTGATAGAAACTTTTTTTTCACTGAGCTAAACAGTCCCGCTCTTATTCCTACCCATTGTATGTAGTTTTACTCTCAAGAACCTTAATAAGGCTAATCCATTTTGTTGGAATTTAAAGATTTAATGTATTTTGGAATGGCTGCCTGCAACGCTTTTAATCTTTTAATCTGTTGCAAGAGAAGATGGGACAGTGGCAAGAGTTAAATTTGTTAGATGGAGTATACAAAGTGCCCCATGTGAAGGCAAGTTTTGTCTTGATGTGCCAGTCACTACAGCCTTTTTAACGAGACAGCTCAGTCTGCACCTGCACAACTGCCCGATTTATTCTCCTGGATCTTAAAGGAACCCCAGCTCCAGGTGGGCAGGCCTCTGCTGGAGTAAATACAATAATAACCAAAAATAATTAAAAGCCAGATCACTTCCCTCCCCCATTTGTAAGCCATCTACATAACTGGTAGAATAGGATCAAGATACTCCTTTTGAGTTCTAGGATACTCATCCTCTCACTACCTTGCTCTTGATGACCTGATGCTTCCCATTCCTGAGGTAATGCCAGGTTCTGCAGAAAGGAATGGCTGTCCCCTCGGCCACACTCTCCTCTCCGCATATTCAGTACTGCACTGTCCTGTGCCCTCTTTCTTCAGTAACTCTTCCTCTACTAGTTTTCCTCTTTCCAGAAATGTAATCTCTTAGCCAGGGGTGGCCTCCCTGTCATTCTCTTCAGGTTGTAGTTCTACAAATGTTTTGTTATTGTTGTATCAGGGCCTCTTGGGGGAGAAGAGAGAAATATGCACTGTCGGTCAGCCAACTTGAACCAGAATAGTAGTTAAAATCATTTTGTAATATAACTAAATCATACCAATGATTTTTTTTAACAGTTCAGTTATTCTTTTTGTATATTCACAAAGTTGTGCAACTATCACCATGATCTAATTGCAGAACATTTTCATCACGCCAGAGAAGACACATACCATTAGCAGTCACCCTCTATTTCCTCTACTCTCCTGCCAGCCCTAGTCAATCATTAATCTGCCTTGTCTCTATAGATTTGTCATTACTGCCACTTGTTGAGGGGACAGGTGCAGATAGGGAGAAAGGTGATTTCTGGTCTGGAGGTGAGCCTCTGCTTTTGATCTCTGCTTGAACCATCCAGAATTTGAAGTTAAAGCTCCTTGCTTCTTTGAAGAAGATTAATTTTCTTCAACCATCTTTGCTCCAAAAATATTCACAGACAATATCTATAAACATATATGCACACCCCTCCCTGAATTTAATCTTTTTTTCCATAACTTTAATCTTATTTCTTGGGAATGACTAACCCTAGTATACACACACGTGCACACACCCACTTTGCCCCGATTTATATTTCACATGCTTCTTGTCTAATCTGACAATGAACGACACCATGCCTCAAACACTTTCCCCTAATTCCCTAATTCCTAGGCTTTTCCGAGCAGGCTGCCATACCTGTATCTTGCTGATTTTACATAAGGTATCCAAAATACTAAGTGACAGTGAAAGGTGGGAGACAGTAGAATAAACCATGGGGAATGATGTGGAGGAAATACCTGCTTTGCCGTGTGTACAGCAGGAAGTGAACTTAGGAGACTAGGAGGGATGGCAGGTCAGTGTGGGAAGGCTCTTCCGTGAGTACTTTTTCCAACCAGGGCATCTGGGCCTCCCCAGCAACCCAACCCCTCAGGAGTGGTCCTTTGTGATGTGTAAGCCCCCCACAGCCACCATTGGTTGTGGGGAATGCCCTGCTGACCAAACAAAGCAAAATGGGCGTGACTCCTCACTGTCCTGGGGAGAGGTATATATACCGAGGGCAGGCCTGGCAGACAGGTAGACAACTGAGAGGCTTCAACATGGCAAAAGTGACCGAGAAATCATGGGAGCCACAAACCACAAGCACCAAGCGGTGGAAGAAGAGGAAGACCACCTCTCAGCCTGGATCAAGAGGCAAGGTCAGATAGTCCTGCCCAAGCTCCTCCTCTCCTTTCCCATTTGTATCCTCTTCCCCTGCCAACACACCCTGTCCCCAGTAATCCTGCCCTTGCCTGGCACAAACCTCCTCCTTAGCTCCTCGCTTTTCCACCCAGCCCCCTTCTCTTCTCGCAGCCAATGACCTCTGGGCTCACTTTATCGCCTTAACAGGTGCTGAAGATATATAAGAAGGTAAAAAGACCACTCCATGTGAGTTCAAGAAAAAAATACTCTACTAAAGTTATAACTACTTCAAGAAAGCAGAAGAGAGCGAGAAGGGGCAACAAGTTTCAGCCAATCCTGTAGACTGAGCCAGAAGCAGCCAGGCCAGGCCCAGCGGTCTCTGTAGAACTATACACCACTTTGAGATAAGATTCAAGCAAAGGGCACCTGCAGAGCAAGCTTCAGAGACTTCAGACAATCTGCCGTATCTAAAGTCCTGGCTGTGGAGAAATGGCCAACTGCATAGAGACTGGCTCAGACACTGATGTCGAACATGGAACACAAATGGTGGTTATTTAAAAAAAAAACAGCAAGGTGTAAGAAGCCCCTTGAAAAAATAAAATAAAATTAGGCACTCTGCACAGAAATGAATTGTGTCGCATTGGTGTTTTTTGATTGTTTCTCAGAATAGGAAATGACAGAGACCACCTCAGGAGAAAATACGTGCAGCTCAGCAAGGGTGGAAAATACCCTTTCCATCAGGTTCCCCAGGTATTTTATCATTTCTGTACTTGGCAGTCAACACTTATTTTAAGTGGGAGTGAAGTCAGCAGAACACAGCAGTGCCATGTACACTAAGAAGTTAAAGGCCAGGGGGAAGGGAGAGGGTGAGAGAAAACAGAGAAAGCACTGACTTTCTCAGTCATAAGGCAGAACTGAGTGCTCTGGTCACTTGGGATAATTCAGTTGTGAACTGAAGGCCCCTGAGCTTCACTGGCCCTTCATCCTTTGCTGACTGGGTGGTGAGTTTTGTAACAAAGGACAGAGCAGCATCACGCCCAGCCACTGGGAGAGGATAATCATGCGGCCACACGGAGCAGAGACCTCACCAGATACTCATCTCTGGTCTGATTCTGCCCAACTTCTCCAGTCTCACCCTGTCAATGCATCATTCCTCCTCAAAGCCCAAAATGAAGCACTTACTCAGAGACTGAGAGGTGGAAATGGTTGGGAGTCCGATATTTATAGGCTAGAACAGTGATCCTCAAAAAATTTATTTTGCATCTCTCCAAGAGAATTTGAAAATCTGTGCATCTCCTTATACAATTTTAAGTTGACATCCAAAATTTTTTAGTTTAAATATTTATTAAGGATATAATTTCTAATGTATTATAAATATTGTTATTTAAAATAAAACTGTTAACTTCAGGTTTTTTTTCTTTTTTGAGTTTACAAGCTGATGTACATTTTTGTCCAAATATATTTCACCCCAGTTTGCTATGAAATTGACTCAAGAAGTGCCACCAGACAGCGTTATTATTTGGCGTGTGTTTTTCTCCCACAGCTTTGAATCTGTTCCAGTAAGTGAACAAGCACATGGTTGAGACTCAATTCTTTGCCATGCCGTATGAATGAGATGATTCTTTTGTACATTTTTAGACTGCTGTTCTCTGATGTTGGCCTAATCATTACAAGTACCCATCTGACACCTCTGTGCTATGTGCCGTGGGACAAGTTAGCTGCACGCTGTATCCAGGCAGTGAAGCCAGTGAACTGATTGTAGGTGGTTGTTCAGGAGTGTTCACTTAAAAAGCAGATGTCCAGTGTTGTACAGCATCTTTTGTGAACATTCCTATGCTTTGTGAACATTCCTATGTCCTGACCATATTTTGCTAAACTGAAAAATATAGTGCAGTTGCATTTCTATAGATTTTCTGAAATTTAAAATGCTTATGGCATAACACTGAAAATAGTCTCCTGTATTGCCTTTTGGCTCTTTCTATATCTTTTTAATAAATTTAAAACTAGTTCCTTTGTCTCTGGGAAGATAGATCCACAGCAAATTGATAGCATTAGTTGTCTCTGGGAAGGGGAACTACACAGCCAGGACAGGAATGAGGAAGGAAACCCGTGTTGTATATCCTCTTGTATCGAGTTTTAAGCCATTTGAATATATTACATGTTCACATTTAAAGTCTAATTTAAAACATGAGTTAGCTAGTTATGTAATAAAAAAGACTTTGCTTGCCTGAACTTTAATAAGGTATATTGATTTTGGATTTCAATCATGAAAACATATCTCTAGTTCTTGAAGAGTTACCTGATTTATCCAACAACCTTGCACAGTAATAACATAATGGCAATAAGAAAATTACTTATTACAGGGAGACATTGAAGCAGTATAATGAAGCCAGGTTAGCAAAAGAGGGCCCAAATAAGAAATTAAGATTCAGAGTATCCAAACTCTTTCTTTTAAAAAACTGAAAGATTAATATGTTAACACCCATATTAACACTCTTGTCCTAGATTTCACCAGTTGTTAAATATGTTACAAATACCATGTTTGCTTTATCGCTAATGAGTATTCATCTTCTACAGGCTCAACAGACCTCAGTGGTGTCTGGGACCTTATTTGATCTTGTTAACAGCTTCATTAGAATGTCTTGTCAGGACTTTGCCCTGTGAAACTGTATAACATATTATTCTCTTATCACCAGAGCTGTTGCTCTGGTATCCTCAAAGATACTGCAGATCTGAGGGTGCTACCCACTTTTACAACTTGGACCTGGGCCCTTTTGTGGTCTAAGAAACTCGTGAGAACTCTACATTAACTGAATTGATCATTAACTCTTGTCAGGTGTGTTGTAGGCAGATGCTATGGAAATGGCATAAGAGAAGGAAAGAATTAGGGCTCCTTGGAGGAGTTATATCCTTTTACAATAAACTGGTGATCTAGTAAGTAAAATGTTCCTGGGAGTTCTCTGAGCCTTGCAAATTAATCATGTCCAAGGAGAGGGGCGTAGGAACTTCTGCTTTATCGCCAGTGGGTCAGAAGCACAGGTAACAGCCTGGACCTGTGATTGGCATCTGAAGTCGGGGGCAACCTTGTGGGACTGACCTTTTAACATTACTATGGGATCTGATGTTATCTCTATGTAGACAGAGAATTGAGTTGGGTTGTAGGACACCCAGCTAGTATCCAAGAATTGGTTGATGTGGGGAGAAAACCCATGTACTGTAATTGGCGTCAGGATTGTTAAGCGAATGGACGCAGGGTTCAAGTGCCGAACAGGGAACTAGACAAATAAGATTGTTAGAATATCTGCATCTAAATTAAAAGCAAATTATTATCAGGCTAATAGAAGAGCTGTAAAGTAAAAAAGCGGTGCAAATTTTTGGTTTCATCTCTCTCCCTCTGCATTTAAGAGGTAGAGAGTGTAAACGGCACGACAAGTATTTGTCTACCTGCTTTGCTCAGCCAAATCTCCAAAAAGCAGAAGATACTTCAGAGAGAGAACAACTTCTGTTGGACAAAGGAAAAGAACGGCTAGGAACCATTCTGGAGAGAATCATGTATTTCCTAGTGGGTATTCCTGGGGAGTCTTTAATGAGAGATGAACCCCAAGAAGCCAGACAAGCTGCTCACCACACTGCCTCCCCTGCCCCACCAAAGGAATTACCCTCATTCAGGAGCCGAGAGACTTAATACCGGGGCTCCTCTCTATTCTCTCAAACCTGGGTCCTGAAAAAGGACCCCTGATAGACCATTTTTTTTCTTAAAAACATTTTTCATCCTTGATTGGACCATTTTTACCTTTTAAATGCAATCCATGCTTTTTCTGTTTTCTAAGTTATTTCTATTTAGGTATAAAATTGAATTTGTTTTAATAAAATATATGCAGAATCTCAAATTACAGATACCTCTATTCATCAATTTCTTTATTTATCTTCAATATATTTTTATTGAAGTATAGTCAGTTTCCATGTGTCAATTTCTGGTGTACTGCATAACGCTTCAGTCATATAGGAACACACATATATTTGTTTTCATATTTTTTTAACCATAAGTTACTATAAGATATTGAATATAGTTCCCTATTCTATACAGTATAAACTTGTTGTTCATCAATTTCTTAAAAGCTTTTTTAGTGTAAGGTTTACACAGTATTTAGTCCATGCTTCCATTGCTCTATTTTGTTTTGTGTTCTTAATCCCATGATTTAACTTTCTATTTAACCTAAACCTCAGACTTGGGAACCATCTCTTCACATACTTGTACTTAATTGTTCATCCTGCCCAAATGTGTTGCATTTGACTGAACTTGCCCATTCTTTTGACAATTTCTCATAGGTCTAATTTCACAAACCTTTAATCAGTTGCTGTTCTCTGAACACTCTCCAAGTTTTTTCCTTTTATAGAGCATGGCATGTAAAACTGAATATAGTTTGTTCCAACTGAAGCCTGGCCATTGCCAAGTAAAGCAAAAGTAAATGCTTCTCCTTTTTTCTCACGTATGCCTTAATACAGTCCTATAAAGTATTTGTCTTGTATTTAAACATAGAGAAGACTCATCCAACTTAACACTAACCACAACTGTTGGATCTCACTTGGCTTTGTTTCATCTATGATTGTCTTAGTATTTCTACATGTTTGTTGCAATTCAGTAGCATATTAAAAGTTAAATGTTACATTTGTAAAAGGATTTCTTCCACATATTTTTCCTTGAAAGACTGTTCCATGAACAGTTGGTATAAATGTGAATTTAGTGTTTGGGATCTCAAGAACTAAGGCTTAAATAATTCTAAGTATATCTGTGATATGAACTGGAAAGGATTCAGATGGCTAGGTACCAGTAGAGTTTGCTGAAAACTGAAGAAGCAGGCTGCCTTTGCTTTCTCCTGTCAGAATTCAGCTGTAAGCATTAGAAACCAATTTCAGCTAACTGAAGCAAAGGAGAATTTATTGGAAAGATATCAGAGAGTTTCCATTGGGCTGGAGAACCATGCTTAAAAACTAGCAAACACCAAGAATGTTCTGAAGAGGAGAAACCTCAGCCATGGTCTGCAGAAGAGCATTAGCATCCACTTATTGAGACTGTTGTTTGGTCCTTCCCTTGTCCATCAGAGTTGTAAACCCTGGGCACTGATCTTAGGCACCATGGGGATCCTAAAAGCAACAAGACACAATCAGTGCCCTTCAGGAGGTTACAGTCTACACTGGATAGAAAGATATGCAAATAATGAAACATAAAACCAAATGTTTAACATGCTGTAAGAAAAGTAAAATGTGCTAAAATCAGAGTTTGGGAAGAGCCCTCTATCCATAGAATGTCACCCTTCCAGCTCATTGACATATTCAACAACCAGGAAGCTCCACCGAACCTTGGTTTCCAGAGTTTTTGCTGGGGTTTCACTGCTTATGAACTAACATTGACCATATGAATGAACTCCAGCTCCAGCTCCCCCTCCCCTTTCTGGAGGTCTGGCTGGCTCAAAGCCCCAACCCTCCAAACACAGGTTTGGTCTTTCTGGTAACCAGGCCCCATCCTGAGCCATGCCATTAACATAAAGTCAGGTGTGATCCAAGGGACTCATGAATAACAAAAATACTGTTATCATTCAGAAAATTCCAAAAGTTTCAGAGGCCAGGTA